AATCTGTCCAACACTGAAAATCCGTTGTATTGTAAAATTCGTTATATCAAAATTCATTGTAGAAAGAGTTGACTGTATACTTCATTAGTTAAATTTTAAGTAAGTGTATTATTTATATCTTCTTCTGATCAAATTAGTAAATCTAATAAATCTAGACTTCTGATTTCTATCTTGTCTGAAGATCCTGAAGAGAAACAAAAATATATCATTAGGTTAGTGTTAAAGCATTTTCCTTCTCTATCTTTAAGCGATAATAGTGAATGTGATAAGTGATTTAATCTTAATAGTTCAACAGTTTGTCTATTATGTAATGAAGATTATAAAGAAAAAGTTTATAGAATAATATAAGAGGTAAATTGGATGCTGGTGAATATTACGATGAATAAATTTATTGTATCACATGCTATGAACAGATAAATATGACGCAGCTCATGTAGTACAAAAGATCAACTGATTTGACATAACTGACATATATGACATGTCAGACATATGTGACATATGTAACATAGTTAATAAATTAGACATAGCTGACATAGTTAATATATTAGATATAATTGATATATTAGACATAGTTAATATATTAGACATGTTAGTTATATCTTTTTATGTAAGTTATTTTATATAAATAGGTAGCTTTTAGTTCATGTAAAAAAATGGATAGATAGGAATTTGGCAAGATAGTTTTAGTAGTTTTAGAGGCAACTGGCCTATCGCGTCATCTTTTAGTTTTAGTATTTCGTTTCTTTTTCTTTCTTATTTTTCTTCTTTATTTTCTTTTCTTTTATTTTTTTTTCTTCATCTTTATTATTATTTTACTCATGAATAAACATAATATTTACAAATATATACTATTAGCAATCTGTTGAATCGTAACTTGTTGTGATAATATAAATACTTTAATAAATCATCTGAGTTAAAGCTTGTAAACTGTTGAAAGATTACTGCTTAATTAAAAAGAATAAACCACTCAAATACCCTATCTAACAGTTATAGTTCGCAAGAATTACACGTTAATAATGCAAATATCCTCTTAATCATAGAATCTTAATAGTATCTGTAAAAGCATAGATTTTATCATATAAACTAATCACCTGAAATACACAGAAGATATTTGGTAAAATTATTGCCAAATTTGTTTTTTTTTTTTGAATTTGCATTACATATTTATACTTTAGTCATTTATTTTTAATATATTATATGTCTTTTTAGGATCCAATCTGACTAAGAGTGTGTTATGCATTTTTTACTCAAAAGTTTCAAAAGATATAGGCTAATTCTTTTCTTTTTTAGAATCTAGTAAATAAAAAGGGAATGATAAGACAGGGCATTGTTAAAAGAAAATTAAAATAGAAATAGAGCTATTAGAATCTATGATTAGCGCAATTTTTTTATCTGAAAAGAATGGTCATATCATATAAGTAGTATATTTATTAGATAAGCTATGCATATTTGCAAATTGTAGATACAAGAGGTGAAAAATTTACGCTAATAATCTTAATAATTTTATTTCTAAAATAGCTAATTTTTTTCACAAAAATATTCATGTAAATCTGTCTAATATTTTTTATAAATACCTTGCCTATTTCTTTCTAACAGACTTCATGTTTTGATTTGCATTTACCTATAATAATGAAGGTTTTTTATAGTGAACTGCATCATAAATAAAAAAAGTCTTACCTTTTTATATATTTGAAGCTAAAAAAAAATCTAGATAGATATCTAGTTCTTTCTTCACTTTTTTTTTTAGATAAAAATGTAATAAAAGAATAGTACTTTATAATATAGCTTATTTATATATTATACTCACATAATAGCAAAGTAACTTAACAAATATTTTAATATTTTTTATTAATAAAAAATTTTTCTCTTGCGTAAGACCCTCTCAGTCAAGTATTTACGAAAAAATATTATTATTTTCATTATTTAAAACATATTGTGAAAATATAAGAATATGGGAATGCATTAACTTTTTTGTCTTTAAGTATAAGAGCCAGATAGGATTTTAATAATTTTCTTTTTTCAGAAATAAGGGATGTATATATGATATCATTTTATATACAGCGCTTTCAACCAAATATTTCAGATCTATATTTTGATGTAGATTCTCTATGCTAGTGTATATGGACATTTATTTTACTAGATGATTGTAAAATATATAAAAAGATTATTTCTAAAGAAATGTTTTGGTAATTCTTTTTTTCCAACAAAGTAAAAAAATATCAATTTCATATAAAATTAATAAAACAAAAATTTATCTAAAAATGTTCTCAACACAGATATTTTCTTGATCGTAATCTTTGACATTACAATTGTAATTTACGAGATAGTAACCTATAGTGTTCTTACAATACAGTCACACCTCGATATAACGAAGTTGCTGATCCAGCCGATCAGGACTTCGTTATAAGAATCTTCGTTAACGC